TAGCCTCTGGACATACGGAGATAATTGGAGAGAGCTGATAGTGGGGAATAGGAAAGGGGTGGGCAGGGGATTGTGAGGGGGTGGGCAGGAGCATGGAGGAAGGATGGCAAGGGAGACTGAATTCCAGAGGGCCACGGCTTCTATAGGGAACAGGAATCTCTGGGTTAGGGGTTCGTTCCTTCAGGGGGCTGGGCCTCATCCATCCCTCCCTTGGCCAGCGAGGGTAAGACCTTGGCCTGCCTCAGGCTTCCCTCTGGCCCCAGTGAGCTCATGTCTGTGCTGCAATGCCCTATATTTCCTGGCATCCACATACCTCCTCCCCTCTCCCTCTCCTTTCTCCCAGATATCTGCCTTTATTTTCTTTCCCTTTTTCTTTCCTATTATTATGAGAGACATTTGTCTGCAAACAGCTTCGGAGGTTTCATCTGCTCCTGCTTATCCCTCACTTCTGCTCCCCACCCCCACCCTGTCCCCTCCTCCTGTTTTATGGATCCTAGCCTTGCTGTGGGAGGTTATGACATCACAGTGTCCGCATCTGGGACCTCATTCTCATCAACTGGGATGGGATCCCAGGAGAGGGCGGAGGGAGGAATACTGGCCTAGAATGAGATGTGGACCGACGTGGGCAGAACATGTGCCTGGTCATTCAGGCTGGCTCCCAGGTTGGCTCACGGTGGGCTCACCCTTTCTGTTCCCGCAGCGTGGCCGCGGTACCGGGTCGTGGGCTCTGCAGACGCCGGGCAGTACAACCTGGAGATCACCGATGCCGAGCTCTCTGATGATGCCTCTTATGAATGTCAGGCCACCGAGGCCGCCCTGCGCTCCCGGCGGGCAAAGCTCACCGTGCTCAGTAATAGCCCCCAACTTCTCTCCATGCTCTCAGCCCACTTCTCCCGTCTCTTTCTCTTGGCATCCTGGCAGTCTCTCCCCTTCTCCGGTTACCTGTTTCAGTTTCCACTTCTCCCTCTCTGTTCCTGGTCTCATGCCTGCCCCCACTGTCCCTCTATCTCCCTAGCTTTCCCTCCCCAACTCCTTTTAACTTCTTCTGAAGCCAGGTCCAGACCGAAGAAAGCCAAACGGGGATGTGGGCAGCCACTGGCGGGACATGTGGGTGTGTGAGGTCTGGCATCCTGTGCCCAGGCCGCTCAAGGGCTGGGCTTGGCCTTCTGGACATAAGGCTCCCCTCGCCAGAGCAGAGGAGTGTTGGGATGATAGAGACCTACCCCTTGATTTCCCAGCCTCTCCTGGCAGACAGGCTTGGTAGTGAGGAAGCTTCTCCCTTTCTCTCTCCTGCTCTGCTACCTCAGGGCCCCAGAAACTGCCCCTTTTGCTCCTTTTCCTCCTCACGCAGCTTTACTCAGCCCTTCTTCCTCTTTGTTGCCTCATTTCTTCTCTGTGCTCACCCCTCCTCGGATTCACTTGAAGGCCTCCTCAGGGAACAGGGGAGCAGGACTGGAAGGAATAGGCTGAGGGCCTAGAGCTGAGGACTGGGGAGGGGTGGAGTGAGGTCATGACTGTGTCTGTATGGGCCCTGGAGGGGCGCTCCCTGCCCCCCCCCCTTTCTCTCTCTCTCAGCTACTGCCCAAGGAGCACAGAGCAGGGTAACACCCGGGGCCATTTGCATAATGAGGGGGCTCTCTCCTGCGCACAGCACAGGAATGAGGCCAGCTCCACATGCCCCACCCCCCTGCCTCCACCTCTGTCTCTGCTTCTGCTGTGCCCCTCTAGCTGGACCTCTGGCTCCATCAGTCTTTTTGTCTCCCTCAAGCTCAGGAGTTCTCACTGGGTCTCTGCCTCTGCTGTGCTTCTGTCTCTGCTTGGTTCTATCTGCCTGTGACCCTCTCTCTTCCCTTTTGTTATCAACTCTATCCCTTTCTTTTCTTCTGCCTCCATGTGATCTGTCCTGTCCTGCTCCCTCTCTTTTTTTTCCCCTGAACAGAAATCGCTGAAGTAAGGGAAGCCCCCAGGAGGGATGGGAGGAAGAAGAAAGGCACTGAGATGAGTGAGCTTGGACATAAGGAAGTTTTTTTTTTAACCTGGGAGCTGGGCAAGGGGAGGGATTGGAGAGAACGTGACCAGTCCTCTGAATGTGGTAGGAAGAGGCCTGGACTGGGAGTCGGGAGACCAAGAGTCTGAAGACCTCTGGACATTAGTATCCTCATCGGTAACACAGCATAATGATGCCTGCTTTTTCTTAGCAACTGCCACTTTGCTGCTCCTTATGCAGGGAGTTGTAAACTGTGAAGGTCTGGGCAAAGGTGAGGTGTCAGAATAAGTGAGGACTTGGGGGACCTCATGGCCAGTGTTCTTGGATGTAAAGGCCCTGAAGGATTAGGACTCTAGGCTGGTGGATGAGTTGCTTTCCTTTCTTTGGTGAGGATAAGTGGGAAGAATTAGCAAGGAGCAAGACTGATGTTAGGGAGCAAGAGTTAGTTGACTGCCAGAGGTGGGCATCAGAAGACAAGACATCATCTTCCATCCCTCATTGAAGAGTTGTGAGCCCCATGCTGGACCAGGCATTCCAAGGGAACCATGAGATTCTTCAGAGGCCTTCTCTCTTCTTTTTCACACCCTAATTGCTTCTGTTTTTGCATGTTAGATGATGCTACTTCTGCCTGGAGAACTCCCATCCTAATGATAATCTTCCCTTCCCTCTTCTACCTAAGCACAGAGACAGAAATAGAGAGAATTGAAGGAAGGCCAACCAAGCCCCTAGGTATTGTAGAAACAGGGCTTATAATGGTATCTAGTGGCTTGGTTCAATCAAGGAAGGCTTCCTGGAAGAACAGAATATAAATGGGAACCCTAGATGGAGGAGTACCTTGTTAAAAAAACTTGCAAGTCAGTTAGGGAGAGCCACATGAGTGGGGGAGCTGACTGTCTTGTTTGGAGGGCATGGTTGCTGTGGAGGGTGTGGGTCTTTGCAGCCTATCTGGGTGATTTGGACAGATGAGAAAAGCAAGGAAAGGCCCCAAGAATGAAAGAGATGAAAGTTTAGTCTGACTGCTTCTTTCTCCTCCTTGTTTCTCTTGAATTCTCAAACTACCTGTCACCTGCAACCTTAAGGAGGCAATAAGAAGAAAGGACATTTCTTGCTTTCTTCCCTGCTTACCTGTGTATACACAGCTTTTGCTCATGGCAGCCCAGGAACCCAGACACTGGGCAGGGCAGGGTCAAGAGAGGGCTATGTCCAGTGCCCAGGATCAGCCTCCCTGCACACAGCCAGCCTCCTCACCTGCCCCCATCTGCAGCCATACAGCCCTCAGTGATCTCCCCTCTAACCCCCGCCCAAGGTTAGCCTTCACACAGAATGGCCTTTCATTCTTCCTGCAGCAGGACTTTGAGAAACTGCTCCCCACCCGCCTCAGACACAGAAGCAAAAAATACAGATCTACAGACAGTACTGCTCCCTCGTTATTCACAGTGATAACAACTCAGTGCAGCAGCGATGAGCGCAGCTCCTGGCTCAGCAGACCTAGTCCACCTCCCAGCCCTGCCATTTAACTCACTCTCCTGTCTCTGATTACATTTGCTTAACCTCTCTGAGCCTCTGTACCTTATCTGTAAATTGGGGTTAATGGTATTTACTGTGAAAGGATTAATGAAATATACTTGGTGGTGAGGATTACGTGACATCATACGCATGAGGCACTTTGGCTGACACCTGGTGAACATTCAATGGGTGGTAGAAATATTGTCAATTGCATCACAGATTACAAGTGCCTTTACATCCTGAATCTTATTTTCCCTTCACAGTAACAACCCTGAGGAATAAGTGTTAATGTTCTTTTTGAAATTTTACAAACAAGGAAACTAAGGCCATAAAGACATGTACATATTGATATGCAAATTTGTCACAAATCACAAAAATTTGTTCATAAACAAATGTACCCCTGGACACATGATGGCTGAGCAGCCACCTCAACGGCCTATTTTCCTTTGCCCTAGATGTGAAGAGAAAGGTGAGCTAGTGACAGAGGTGACAGATGGACATTCTTTCCCTGAACAAAAGGAAAGAGTCGAGGTTACAAGGGAAGGGATAGCTGATGGGAGGGGAGACTTGCCTGCAGGAGGGATTTCTCATGTCTGGACAATGTATCTTCCCCATCCCCCACAGAAACGCAAGGCTCTGCTACCCAGGACCTTCCTCCTGGGAGTGCCAGCAAGGCTTGACCTTGGAGGGTCCCAGGTGGACCAGGAGACCCTGAGTGGCTGCTCTTTATCCATATCTCTCTGCCTCCCTCTCCCTCCCACCCCACTTCCAAATCTGCACCCATCTGGCACTGGACCGGGTACACCAGCAAGCAGAGGATGAGCCAGGATTCAGTGGATGACTCGATAGCCAGGAGTTGGAAGCACGGCTGGCCATTGTCTGAGTTGTAGAGTGAACACACCCCACACTTGCCCACGCCTGCACATTACAGTCCATGTACAATGCCTCATCCCTCCTTCACGAAGGCCCTGTGGGCAGACACTGTCAGGTCTCTATTGAAGAAACAGACTCAGTTACTTGAGGGACTCATCTGAGATCACAAGTTAGGTAAATAAAGGTGCCAGGGTTTAAAACTATGATTCTAAATTTCGTGCTTTTCCCACTCTACCACTCTGCATGTACAAGTTGAGCAGACGCTGGGGCAGGCTACAAGTAGTTCCTTTCTCCTGGGAACCCCTGCATAGGGACCATCACTTCATAAGCTTCAGGACAGTCCTGCCCACCACTGGACTCCACGGGCCTCCCAGGGTCCACTCTCAAGGGTTTCCTTGGAGCGCCCCCGCTGAATGTTTCCCAGGGAAAAAATTAACAAAACCTTTCTTATTTCTGGCCTGATGAATACTAGGTGGACCAGAAAGAGAATATTCAAAATTTGTCTGCCTTTATCTCACCAATCACTTATTCAGTAATTCAGCCAATGTCCCTGAGGACCTGCTAACTACCAAGCTCTGGGCTGAACACTAGGGCTTTAAGAAAAAAGAAGTAGCCCCTGCCCTCAGGGAACTTGTAGTCTGGGTTCCCTGAGCACTCAGAAGCCTGTGGAGATAGAACAGGGAGAGGCCCCAATTTCCTAGTATCAGACACTTGCAATTCAATTCCTTAAGCACTTAGCAAGAACCTGCTCTGGCCACGTTCTGGGCACTGGAGACTGTAAACATTAGTGCGACAGGCACCCTGCTTTTCCAGGAATAACAGTTTGAGTTGGGGAGGAAGTGTGAATAATCGCCATTAAGTAACCTCAGCACAAGGTAGATGGTGTGAGGAGCTCTGAGTGACTAGCCAGGACCATTGAGGTGGTAATTGGGGGTCGGGGGGACATGGCATGGAAGGCCTTGTGCAGTGACTGGGATGGGTAGCACTTCAGCAGAAGCTGTGAGAGAAAGAAGAGCAGAAGCAAAGACGAGGAGGTGAGAAAGTACAGAACTTGGCCTGAGGAGTCCTGAACAGCAGGCTGAGGGGCTGGGAACTCATGCCCATGGCAGCTGGTAGCTATCAAAGGTGTTTGAGCAGGAGCACAGTCTTAGCTGTGCTATATAGAAAGTAACCTGCCAGCAGTTCCGGATTAGTTGGGGCCAGCAAGGATTGGAGTCAGAGTCCATTTGGGAAGGCTGCTATAATGGACCCACTCATCTGGCTGCTCCAGGGCAGAGGAGCGGATAGGAGGGAATGGAGGGAAGAAGTAGCCACAGAGGTAGCCACCTTTCTGTGCCAGGTCCCCGAAGATATGAGGTATACTCAAACTCTGAATAGCCCCTTCCTAATTTGAGGCCACTCTCATCATCTGTATATAGCCTTGAACAATGGCAGGGGATGTAGTATCAGAATATGGTACAGGCTGGGAAAGAATATCCGATGGGGGGCTGGGAAAGCTGTGTGAGCTGAGGGCCTTGGGTGAAGCCACCACAGGGGCACAGGTACAAAGACTGTTGGAGATAAGGGTGGCATCACCTCACCTTGAGGTGGACATGCCGAGGGAGGGATGCCCTCAGAGGCAGCAGGGCTTTTGGTTATCAGGGCAGTGTTGGCCAAACCCTAGACTGACATTGCTTCACTCTCCCCCACAGTCCCCCCAGAGGACACCAGGATTGATGGAGGTCCTGTGCTTCTGTTGCAAGCAGGCACCCCCCACAACCTCACATGCCGAGCCTTCAGTGCCAAGCCTGCTGCCACCATCATCTGGTTCCGGGATGGGACACAGCAGGACGGTGCTGTGTCCAGCACGGTGAGACCCTGCTTGCTCCTCCAGCTCCTCTTGGGCCTCATGCCAGGTCACCTTTTTTTCCCACATGGATCTGACCTCAGACTCATGGGGATACAGATGTGAGAAGGGGCCTTAGAGGTCATCAGGTCCAACTCACTCGTTACACAATAGAGAAAATTGAGGCCCAGAGAAGTGAATTCCCAGGTTCAGGTTCACGATGCCATTTGGTAGCTAAGTAGAGACCAAGAATAATAGTAATAATAGCTACATTGATGAAGAACCTACTGTGTGCCAGGCACTGTGTATGCTAAGCTCTTTCTGGAGACTGTCTCTTAATCCTCACAGGAGTTTCATAAGTTAGATGTTATTTCCAACTCACAGTGAGGAAACTGATGGGCAGAGAAGTTGAGTGACTTGCCCCAGGTCACATAGCTGGCATGCAGCAGAGCTGGGGTTTGTACCTGGGGCAGACTGCACTCTCCCTAATGAGCACTTCGACCTCCTTCCATCACTCATCCTCTAGTTTGCACATTTTCCAAGTTAGCACAACTAAGTAGCAGGGGAGGCAGGGCTCACTGTGTACATTTCATAGACGAGGAACCTGTGGCAGAGAAAGACATTAAGAGACTTACCCAGAATCACATGGCAGTGTTGACGGCGGAGCTGAAATCAGAATCCTGATCTCCTGTTCAGAGTTCCGCTGCCAGCTGTGGGCAAGCATATGTATACCCAGCCCTGTGCTAGGTGCTGCAGGAGACACTTGTGGGGAGAGAGAGCGCTCACCTGTGTGCCTGAGTTAGCTCTGCCCTTGACACCGTGGACCATTCACTTCTCTCTGGCTTTAGTTTCACCATTGACAAATGAGAATTTGGCCTTATTGATGCTTACTTTTTCACCAAGAATTGTTATTTTTCTACCCAGGGCTATGTGTTTTGAAATATTTTGGCAACCAAACAATCTAATTTGTTAATGGCCATTTGTCATCCACCCCCCTTTTTTATATTCTTTAAAGACCATGGTGCTTCGAAGCACCTCAAGGGAGCCACTGGCACTGTGCTGGGCTGGTACTGTTTCGGCCCAGGAGAGATGTGTGTATTGCTGTCAAAGTGTGGGCCTTACTTTGTCTAACAGTATGGTTTGCCTGAGGCAGTTTGCAATAAGGAAAACAGCACCAGGGTTTCTTTGACCATATTCAGGGACCTCAGGTTGGATACCACTGAGCCAGTATGAGACTTTGAGCCTATGAGTCCCTTTTCTGCCCTCCAGGAATTTGTGGTCTAGCAGGAGAGACCGGAGATGGAAATACTCAGACATGGTGCCTAAGAGGCAAGGCAGAATGTGCCCAGAGCCGTGTGCAGGACAGACTGCCTGCGAGGGGCACGAGTTCAGGATGGGAGAGTCCTGAGGGCTGGGATGGCCAAGGAAGACTTTGCAGAAGAGGAGAGACTTAAGCTGAACTCAGAGAATTCCAGGAATGAGGCTCAAAACCATGGGGAAAACTGCAACACACAGAATGAACTCTGATGCAAACTATGAACTTTAGTTAATAATAATGTATCAATATTGGTTCATCAGTTATAAGGCATGTATCACACCAAAGATTCATGTTAGGAACTGTGGGGAGTGGGGGAAGAGGGCATATAGGCATTCTCTGTATTTTCTTTCAATTTTTCTGTCAAGTCAAAACTTATCTAAAAAATAAAAGTCTACTAATTAAAAACAAAACCTGGGGAAGACGCTGGGTCTGCGGGCGGGGGCCAAGCTTCAGGTTAAAGTTCCCCTCCAGCACAAGCCCAGTTCTGAGTCAGGTCACCCTGAGAGCGGAAGAGGGGGCTTTTAGGTTGACCACGTCTCCCTTCCTTGCCCCATCCCAGGAACTGCTGAAGGATGGGAAGAGAGAGACCACCATCAGCCAATTGCTCATTAACCCCACGGACCTGGACATCGGGCGTGTCTTCACCTGCCGGAGCATGAACGAGGCCATCCCCAGTGGCAAGGAGACTTCCATTGAGCTGGATGTGCACCGTGAGCAGGGTCCTGGGGCAGCAGGCTGGAGGGGTGCAGTGGGAGAGGGACTGTGGGCACCCTGGGAGAAGCACAGAAGAATCCTCCAGGGGCCCAGGACAGATGCTCACTTTCTTCATCCTGCAGAGATTTCCTGGTTTGGCACTGAGGACTGGTGAGGAAGCATCAGCTGTCAGGCAGTTCCCACATAGTCTAAATCAGTGTGTGGCTTTGGGCAACGATTTAATCTCTCTGAGCCTCAGTTTCCAATTTTACTTATGTGCATAAAATAAAATACAGGCTTACAATCCCTTATCTAAAATTCCAAACAAAAAGTGATTTGGTGGCAAAATCTGAACCAAGCCTCTTTGTCGTCTTTTACGTCATAACCCACTTGATCTGAAGAACCATATGTTTCATTGCAGAGGTGTTCATGTCCCTCACTATGAGGTGCTGCCAGACCCTGCTGGAGGTTTTACATAGTAAATGGTCTATGCACACCATTACCCTTCTACAATTTGAAAAATTCCAAATTCTGAACCACAGTTTCAGGGGTTTCAGATAAGGGTATGTGGACCTGTACTTGCTTCTTAGCATTATGAGCATTAAAAGAGATGTAGTGTAAGAGCATCTAGCATGGAGTATGCTAGCTTGTACGTGCTCACTAAATTACCTCTGCCCTGGGCAGGGTGGGAGTGTGGGCAGCGATTGGAGAGATGCCCCACCCCCATCGCTTTTAGTGAGCCAAGCGAGCCCACACTGGCGCCTAGTGGCCGCCGCCAGCCATTACACCTACTGAGTGTTCCTTTAGGTTTCATCTGTGGTCATCACCCCAGACAGCCCCCTAGAGGCTCCGTGGGATAAGGGTGAGGAAGACTTATTTCTTGGAGCTCGTACCCTGCAATCTCTAATTTCCAGATTCCCACACAGTGGTGGTGTCCGAGTGTGTGTGCTAGGGTAGGGGTCCCCAAGCCCCAGGCTGCCAACCAGGACTGGTCTATGGCCTGTTAGGGACCAGGCCGCATAGCAGGAGGTGAGCGGCAGACAAGAGAGCAAAGCTTCATCTGTATCTGCAGCCGCTCCACAGCACTAGCATCACTGCCTCAGCTCCACCTCAAATCATCAGACATTAGATTCTCATAGGAACATGGGTCCCTGGTGCCGAAAAAGGTTGGGGACCACTGTTCTAGGTAGAGAAAAAGAAACTTGAGGTGCAGAAAAGATCCTGACTTCCTGTCCCCTGCTTTGCAGATCCTCCTACAGTGACCTTGTCCATTGAACCACAAACAGTACAGGAGGGCGAGCGTGTTGTCTTTACATGCCAGGCCACGGCCAACCCTGAGATCCTGGGCTACAGGTGTGAGGAGCAGGGGCTGGGCGCACTCTGGGGAGGATACTGGAGAGGCCCTTGAGGCCAGGAGCCGGGTGCTGGGAGGGCAGTGCCACCGGATGTGGGTGAAAGGGCTCTAAGCCCTGACCCCGCTATGTTGCCTCCTCCCCCAGGTGGGCCAAGGGGGGCTTCTTGATTGAAGATGCCCATGATAGTCGCTATGAGACAAATGTCGATTATTCCTTCTTCACGGAGCCTGTGTCCTGTGAGGTTCACAACAGAGTGGGCAGCACCAATGTCAGCACTTTAGTTAATGTCCACTGTGAGTAGCTGCAGGTGCAGGGGAAGGTACAGAGGGCGGGGGGGGGGACATGGGGACAAAGGGGGGACAAGGAAGAGGGCAGGGTCCTGTAAAGGGCCTGGGGTGGAATTGGGGAGGCTCCAGGAAGCTGAGGAGATGGGGGATAGACACGGGGAGGTATCAGGAGAGGGAAGAGAAGGCCAGTTGTAGCTGACTCCGAGGACACTGAGACCCTAACAAGCTGCTCCCTTCTACCTCAGTTGCTCCCCGGATCGTAGTTGACCCCAAACCCACAACCACAGACATCGGCTCTGATGTGACCCTCACCTGTGTCTGGGTTGGGAATCCCCCCCTCACCCTTACCTGGACCAAAAAGGACTCAAACATGGTAAGACACTTGCTGCCTCTCCTGGGTGCTGGGAGGAAGGGGTGTGGCTACCAGTGGGGGAGGGGGCAAGGGCCATGTGGCGTTACTTTTCAAGTTGTACCTGGGATATTTTTAGCGTCTTGGGATTTGGAGAGGAATGACAGTGCTCATGATCAATCCCTGCTCTCCTTGTAGAACAGCTGGCGGATTCAGTGGCAGTGGGAGGGACATGCTGACCCATGTGTGGGTGGAGGAAGAGGGCTTGAGTAGAGGTGCTGGGGTGGCAAGAGATGTGGTGACTGAATTCTTCATGGGAAGGGAGGGGAGCTCGGATGGTTCGCTAGAGAAGAGCAGGTCGAATTCTATAGCACTACAGAGACCCGTGTTGGACAGTTCGGGCCAAAATTGCAGGAAGAGGTATTTCAGAGTTCCACCAGGACAGGTCTTCCAAGGAGGTTGCATTCTCCGTGAAATGACTGCAGCCTCACTTGCCCTCTGGCCCACCTTTCTCTGCCTACTTGTACAGAGATGATGTGTTTAAATGCCAACCTGTTTAGAGTCATGGGAGGGACCAGACAGACTTGGGACCCT